AAAAAAAAGGCAAAAGGAAAAAAAAGGCAAAAGGAAAAAAAAAGGCAAAAGGAAAAAAGGGGAAAGGAAGGGAAAAAGGGAAAAAGGGAAAAAGGGAAAAAGGGAAAAAGGGAAAAAGGGAAAAAGGGAAAAAGGGAAAAAGGGAAAAAGGGAAAGGAAAGGAAAGGAAAGGAAAGGAAAGGAAAGGAAAGGAAAGGAAGAAAAAAGGGGGGGATGAAAAAAAATGGGGGAAGTGAAAAAACCCAGAAAGAGAACCAAAAAGAGGGAAAGGGAGCCGAAAAAGGGAAAGGAAAACAAGAGGGAAAGGAAGAGAAGTGGAAAAAAAAATAAAAGAGGTAAAGAGAATGAGAAATGGGGAAATAGAGGGGAAAAAGTGAAAAGGAAAAAAAAGGGATGGGGGAAGGAAAAAAGGAAGCCACTCTTTCCCACTCCCAACCAATTCCCTGCTATACCAAGTGGGAAAAGTTGTGTCCCGGCCCCACCTGGTGGACAAAGCTCCCGGGATTGGGAATGTGCAGGAAAAGCCCTGCAGATGGTCCCACCTCCTGCACAAGAGTCCAGCTGAGGGAGAGGAGTCTCCTCGCCGGGCTCCATCCTCCAACTTCCCATTTCAGCCAGGAATTCCTCCCCGGTGTCCCACCCAACCCCGCTATCTGCCATTGGGCAGCCATTCCCTTTTTACCCTGCTATTCCCGGCCCTTGGCCGAGCCCCCCTGCAGCTCTCTCAGAGATTCCTCCCTGTGTTTAGCATTGACTAACCAAATAAACTCAATTAAAAACCGCAAACGTGTAATTACAACCCTACAAAATTAACTACGTGACTTTTGGGCGCTCGGACAAACGCCTGACAACAGGATTTTTGGATCAACACGGGAATTTCCCTTCTGGAAGCACATAAACAAAGCAAGAACACGTCCCAGACCAACCCCGCAGTTCTCTCCTCCTCCAAAGGCGGGTTCCGCCCCGCAGGACTGAGGGGTGAACTGAGGGAACGAGGCCAATTCCATTAAAAACGGGATATGACAACGCCAATATCGGCAAAAACGGGATTTTTCCGTTTTCCAGCCCCGGTCCCGCAGCAGCGCTCGGAGCAGCCCCTCAGCTCAGCGCCGGAGAGCAGCACCGCCGCTCCCGAGGACACCAAGAAAGGGATGGAGGGGAGAGAAGGAGCCTGTCCCGAACTGTCCACGCCCCTCACCTCCTTCTCGGACGCCTTCTCGCCGATCCCCAACAGCCCGTAGAGGTCCCGCTCCAGCAGCTCCTTATCCACCGCCATCTTCGCGCTTCCCGGTTCCGCTCCTGGCGCCGCGGTCGCTGGGAAATGCAGTCCCCTCACTCCGCCGCGGCACGCGCCGTCCAGGAAAGTTGGACTACAAGCACCGTGATGCACCGCGTGGCTCCAGAAGACGGGAACAGCCAGGGTGAGCAGCGCCACGCTGGGCATGATGGGTAATTGTAGTTCTCTAGCGGCAGCTGCTAGCGAGGATGAACTAGAGGAAAACTACAAGTCCCGTGGGACCGTGCGCGGGCACCGAGTCCTGAGGGAAAACTCAGGGCGTGCGTCCCGCTGTCTCCCAAGATCACCACTGATCGTGTCCCCCAGTGCCACCGACGGATCCACACCCATGAGCTAAATCCAGGAATGGCACTCCACCATTTCCTCTGGAAGCCTGTGGCAGTGGGGGGTGGTGCGAGCCCAGCTGCCCCCTGTTCCCAAAACCATACTTGTTTTTGTTGTCACCAAAAAACATCCATCTCACCCCAAGGCACAGCTCCTTGGGAACTGTGTTTTCTTGTTCTCTTATTGATCAAAGATACCTCCCTTTCCCCCCACTGCTCTAAGAAGAGAGCACTGTAGAAGAAAGCCGATCCAATTATTCCCATACACAGGAGACAGAGTTTTTCAGCCCTTACTCCTTTATTCTCATAGGATTTGTGTCCTCATGGCTGAAGGTTACTTACTTTACCAACAATAGCAACAAACCTGAGATGATGAAGAAAACTAGAAACCCATGATTCCAGCAAAATGAATTGTTCCAGAGAGCTGTTCATAGCCAGTAGTGCAATAAACTGAAAGGTTCCTGGTGTGTCTCCATGGATCCTCACCCAAGCAGAGCCTCAGCTCTCAGGGTGCAGACCCAAGTCATCATCAGTGTTGTTCCAAGCCCTGCTCCATTGCCACCTCCTTCTTGATGAGAGTCCTGGAGTGGTTTGTGCTCAAAGAGACCTTAAAGGTCATCCAGTTCCACCCCCTGCCACGGGCAGGGACACCCTCCACTATCCCAGGCTGCTCCAAACCCTGTCCAACCTGACCTGGAATGTTTCCAGGGATGGGACAGCCACAGCTGCTCTGGGCAACCTGTGCCAGGGGCCTCACCCCTGAACAGGGGAGGATTTCTTCCAAGTATTCCACCTAAATCTCCCCTTTTCCATTTTGGAACCATTGTCCTTGTCCTAACCTTGCAGTTGCTGATGAGTTGTAGCCCTGGTCATGCTGAGGCCACCTGTGGCCATCATGGTGTCACTTTGGGCACCTCCTTTGGCCTCCCCCTGAGGATCCCATTCCTGTGACACCCTCTTGCGCTACAAAACACAAAATTTACCCCCCAACACCTGTCCCTAAACCCAAGCACAGCACCTTAGCCCTTTGGGGCTGTCCCATGCCTCAACAGTGGCCCTTTGTGACAGCACCATCAGTGATGTCACAGCGGCCACGGGACACAGGCCATGTCACAGAAGCAGCAGAGGGGGCCCAGAGCCGCAATCCCATGGTGAGAGGCGTGGGATGCAAACACCGCTATTCCAGCCCCACCACGGCCCCGCTGTTGAGGTGTGGGACAGCCCTGGAAGGCCGAGGGGCCGCGGGGTTTCGGGGAGAGCTACCTGCAAACTGACTTTGTGCCTCTTGCAGGGCGAGATGTCATCGAGGGAGGACACTCCGGAGCCCAGCACCAGCCAGGCTGCCAGCACCAGCCAGGCCGCCGAGGCCGCACTGCCGGAGGACAGCCGTGAGGAGGAGGAGGCCTCATGCCCGGAGTGCCGGCACATCAACACCACCTGCTCCAGCTCGTGCCGGCACTGCTTCTGCCAGCTGTGCCTGTGGGACTGGAGCCTGAGCGAGGCCACGTGCCCGCGCTGCCAGCGGCCCACGCGGCACCCCTACCCCCAGCACGTGGCCCTGTACCACGAGGTGCAGGACCGCGTGTACGACAGGAAGCGCAGACGGCGCGGCCAGTCCGCACGGAGCTGGTCCTTAGGGCCCTCGGAGAGGAGGCCCAGGAGGTCTGGGAGGTGGCCCCGCGATGGCCGCCGGCAGTCGCGGCGCCGCCGAGGCAGCGACTCCCCGAGGAGGAGGTGGTGGCAGCACCAGAGGAGGGCTTGGGAGGACACACCTGAAGAGGGACAGACTCCGAGAGTGGAATGGACCATCCCGGTCTCCTCGCAGGGACGGCGATCCTGGCGCAGGTCCCACAGGTCATGGAGCCAGCAGGAACGGTCCTGGGGTCGGCGCACATGGAGCAGGGGCAGAGAGCGTTCCCGTGGCTGGGACGGGTCCTCCAGGAGAGAGCAGGACACGCAGACAGGCTCCCCCGAGCACTCTGCGAGGCACAGGCGCTGGAGGAGCTGGGATGGTGATGACAGACACCCCCCAGGGCCCCAATACGATGTCCCCTCAGACAGGAGTGACACACATCAGTCGGAAGACTCTGATTCCTCCGAACAACAGCACACAAGAGGGAGGCAAAGCCGGGGCAGATCCCACCAGAGAGACCAGCACTCCCCGGCAGGCTCCCAGAGAATGGTGCCCTACGAGCACTCCAGAAACCAGAGGCGCTGGAGGAGCTGGGATGCTGATGGCAGACACAGTCCAAGGCCCAACCATGACAACCCCTTGAGGAGGAGTGACAGACACCAGAGGGAAGACTGGGGTTCCTCCAGGCAACAGCACGGGACAAGGAGCCAAACCCGGGGCAGATCCTACAGGAGAAGCCAGAACTCCTGGAGAGCCTCCCAGGGAAGGGCGCCCCGCAACCACTCCACAGGTCAGAGGCAGCGTAGGAGCTGGAATGACGACCAGGGACATGCTCCAAGGTCCCAGCGGGACAACCCGGGCTCCTCAGGGAGGAGCCGGCGCCATGCCGGGCGCAGGGACACATAGTCCACCCTCCCAAAATGGGAATTCCCACACTCAGGCTTGGCCCAGGGTGTCCAGGCAGGCTTTGGTGACCTCCCAGGATGGAGCCACCAGATCCCCATCCTGGACATCCAGGGCTTGACTTGCTGCAAATAAACAAATCCCACTTGAGCCAGCATTCCCTATCTTCTTTTTGTGTTTTTGCCACCTCAGATATATATCCACAGATATTTTGGAGCATCCCACACCCTTGGGTTGCCCTCATGAGTTTCCCTCTGTGAGCTCTCCCAGCATCATTAAGTGCCTCTGTGGATGAAGGAATGAGCTGAGGGGCTCTTCCCCTCTCCATGCCCTCACAGCTTTTCCATGGTTGAACCTGACTTGACTTTTGCCATTGCATTCCCTTCAGTTTTATCCAGGGAAGCTTTGCTGGGAGAAGTTGGTGCCCCTTAGCACATTTTCAGCAGAGCCACAGCTCAGTACAAGAATATTTTCCCCCAAAACCCACGGTGTGGCTGATACAAATCAGTGCTGGAGGTGCCCAAGCCCAGCTCCAGGGCCAAAACTTGCCCTTAACTTCCCTCTCAGCTGTCATCCAGCCTCTGTCCCCAAATGCCAGCCTTTGGAATCACCCCACTAACCTGCAGTGTCCCACTGATCTTCAATTTGGGGTGTCAGCATAGCTGATCATCCCCCTAGATGCATATTCAGCATGTGGGATGAGGATTTTGCCTATGGATACATTCTCTGCTGGATGGAAGGAGCCTGGTCACACTGGATCCCTCTTGCACTGCAAGAAATAATTGGAAAAAAGCCATAAAATTCAGCAAATGGTGAAAAGCATGAGCCTGGGCACACAGGAGGTGGGCAAGGATCCTTGATATCCACATCATGCTCTGGTAGAGCCACTCCTCTGCTTGATCAAGTTTATTTTTCTTCCACAGAAGCCTGCTTCAAATACACCTGGAATTCACTCTTTTCCTCAAATATATTCAGAAAATGGGCTCTTGCTACCTGGAAACCACACACAGCCTCAGCTGGGAGAAGCACTGCTCAGCACAGGAGGTGGCCACACACAGCACCAAAACCACCCTGGTAGTTTTCCCCTAGATTTAATTTTTTCATTAAATACAAAACTTCTCCTCAGGCATAAGCTGATGTTTGTTTATCTCCTGGAAAATCCTCTCCCTGCCTCTCTGAGCATAGTTCCAGGGACCTAGAAATGCTGGATATGCCACCTGAACATACACACACAAATATTTCACCAGGAAAACCCTGGAAAAAATGCAGCATTCTGTGTGGATGGATGTTGGTGGCAGAGCCACTGCTTCAGGGTAACAACGAGTTAGAAAATCCAGACAATTTCTGCTGAAGTAAAAAACAAAACAAAACCAAAAAAAGGATCTGGGAAAAGTGCAAAAGAGGCTGGAGGTCTGAGGGGAGTGCTGCCCCTGGAGGTCTCTGTCCCAGAGCCTGGATTCAGGAGGTCTTTACAAACACTGGCACCTCGGCCAGGCTGGCAGAGTAATTCCTGAGCGTGGTGCCACCATCAAACACTCGGGCAGTGTTGGTGTCCAGCCACAGGTGCCCCTCTCCTGGCAGGTAGATGTCCCTCCACGTTTGTCCCTTTTCTGTTATTGGAGCCACCAGGACCTGCAGGGAGAAGGAAAAGAAAGAAAAAAGAACTTCAGCAGAGGGAGGATTAGCCAGCGTGGTGGGGTGAGATGGTCATCAGGGAATCCTGGAATGGTTTGGGTGGGAAGAGACCTTAAAAACCATCCAGTGCCACCCCCTGCCGTGGGCAGGGACACCTTGCACCAGCCCAGGTTGCTCCAAGCCCCATCCAACCTGGCCTTGGACACTTTCAGGGATGGGGCAGCCACAGCCTCTCTGGGCACCCTGTGCCAGGGCCTCAGCACCCTCACTGGGAATTCCTTCCCAATCCCATCTATGCCTGCCTTCTGTCAGTTTAGAAGCATTAATGCAGTGCAGTGACATTCCTTTGACTGGGATTGGGTCATCCCTGTCTGCAGCTGCCCCAAGATTCCATCCAGTCTATATTTTTGAAAACCAGAACAAAAAATCCCCAGTGATAGAGTCAATGTAATCCCACCTTCAGGGAGCAATTTTTCCCCTTCTTTCATGGGAAAAGCAGTTCCCAAAAAGTAGTTCCTAACATTCTAAGACTCCGTTCCTGCTAAATCATTTCACTTCCAAAGCTGAAATGTTTCAGGGCCCTAAATAAGAGTTTCATTAGGAAAGCCAAAAAGCAGAAACCCCAAAACCCACAAAACTCAGCTGCTTTGGCTTGGATTTAAATCTGCTCAAACCCAAGTCCTGGTTTGTACTTGGGCAGCACTGGATTTACAGGAATAATGCAGAATTCCCACCTCATCTCCTATGAGGAACTCATCCTCTATGGTGAATGCAGCGGGATCCGTGGGGCTGAGCCACCAGGCAGGACGGAAGATGGGGTACCCCAAACTCTGCCACTCCTCACTGTATTTTAGGAGCAGGGGCACAACAAAGTCCCGGTGCCTCTGGATGCACTGGCGGGTCAGATTCAGGACCTGCAGGTGGGGGACAAATCCATGAGGAGCCCAACATCCAGGAAGCAGCGATGCAGGGAGGGAAAAAACCCCAAAAATAAATAATTAAAAATTTACAAGTAAAACGTGTTCCCTTGGGAAGAGAAATTACTGAATTGGAATGTCCTGATCAAGCTATGGTGCAAATGGGGTTGATACTGAATATTAATTGGATTAATTGGATATATTTGGATTAATTGGATATATTTTGATATTAATTGGTTTGCATATAAATCCATTGGTAATGGATTTAAAACAATTAAACTTAAATGTATTTAAATCCACTGGTAATTGTTATAAATCAGCTGGATTTAAATCTATTGATAGCAGATATGAACACATTGGATTTGAATAGATTTAAATCTGTTGTTAATGGATTTAAATCCATTTGATTTAAATTTATTGAAATGCATTGAAAATAGTTATGGATCCATTGGTTTTCAGAGGATTTAAATACATTGATACTATATATGAATCTTTTAGATTTAAATATATTTCAGTCCAAGTATATTGAACATGAATCTATTAGATTTAAATGTATTTTAGTCAATTTATATTGAACATGAATCCATTGGATATAAATGGATTTAACTCTATTGATAATGAATATAAACCCATTGTATTTAAATAGATTGAAACCCATTGATAACAGATTTGAGTCCATTGGATTTAAGTGAATTTAGATCCATTGGCAATGCATATAAACTCATGGGTTGAAATGCATGTACATCTACTGATAATGGATAGTAATTAATTGTATTTAAATGGATTTACATCCATTAATAAAGGACCTTAATAAATTTTATTTAAATTCCACTGATAATGCATATGAATCGATTTAATTGAAATATAATTAAATCCATTGATAACAGACACAAATCCTTTGGATTTAAATCCACTGGTACTTGAATCTAAACCCACTGATAACGGATTTATTCCCACTTCAGTGGGAAGCTGAGGACAGCAGCTGGCAGGAGATCCCTGCCAGGCCTTCCATGGCTTTTGGGGCATTGGCCATGTCAGAATCCCGGTGTGGGACACGTACCCAGGTGTCACAGCAGAGCCAGGGCGGGGTCCCAAAGGCCATCACGGGCAGGAATGTCACAATCTGCAGCCACCTCACAAACAGCTCCGGGTCCCCTGGGGTGGCTCCAGCCTCGCTCCCTCCTGCAGGAACATGGGGCTGGAGTGAGGGCCTTCCATGGCATGGAAAGGTTCTGGGGAAACCTCAGAGCTCCTTCCAGTGCCTACAGCATCACCATCGCTCTGAAAACCTGGCACAGCTTCCCTGGAAATGGCACAACCCCCCAGCACCAAGGGCTCACCCAGCCATTCACAAATTCCTGTCTCCTCCACAGGCTTTTCCCAGCTCTTGCAGCTCCCAGGCTGCTGGGACACAATCTCCTGCCCAGCTCTCCCTGTGCAGGAGGATCTGCGCTCCCATCCACAAGCCAAGAGCTCCAGCACCTCTTTGGGAAGCAAACTCCCATGCTGGGATTGCTTGAGCCTCATTTTCTAAAGAAAGCAAGCTAAAAATAGAGGCCAAATTGAAATATTGCTCTCAACCCCTGTTTCAGGGCTGTTGTTTAGATCAGCTCTCCACATTTGACACTTTGGCACAGCCTCTGCTCACTCAGGGCATGTTTTAAGCACCACTAACTCCACCACTAACACCACTAACTTTTGCCAGAAAAAGGGAAATGGATCCACTTGGCCCTAATTAAAGGTTATTTCTTGCCCTTTTATAATGCTTTTATTTCAGGATTTCTGCAGCCATTTTGCTTTGGAGCAGAAATACAGACTTGGGGCAGAGCTGCTGGGGTTTTAGGAGCATCCATTCCCCAGCCAGGAGCCTGGGGAAGCAGATCCTGCCTGTGCCAGGTGGGATTTAGCCCAAGCCAAGCCAAAGGTGTGGGCTGTGGTGGAACTCTGGGAAGGGCATCTCCAGAGACCCAACTGCTGCTGGAGCTGCCTGGCAATATTTACAGCATATTCTTTTGGTTTTAACTCCTCACTTTTTTTCCCCTGATAACATTCATCTCAATCAAGCCAGCACAACAGAAAATTGGGGAGAAAAACGCTCCAAGCCTTCCCATAGCACGCCTCAGGTGCAAATGTACCTCCTGTGCCCGGAAAAAGGCTGCAAAATTCACTGCAGAGAAGCCAGAAATAGGGGGAAAAATGGAAAAACAACTTACCTACTGCATCAGGGATGAAGAAGTTGTAGCCCAGCAGGCTGTAGTGCAGCACGGAGGGGATGAGCCCCTTCAGCCCAGCGTGGCTCCAGTCAGAGCGCAGGGGCCTCATCTGGACAAACAGCGGGAGGTGACTGGATCTGGAGAAACAGCACAAACCCTTCAAGGTGAAATTCCATGATCCCAGTTGGCTTTGGAGTCACTGGGGCCAGATTATAGTCCCAGAATGGTTTGGGTGGGTAGAGACACTAAAGCCCATCCAGTCCCACCCCTGCCATGGGCAGGGACACCTTCCACTATCCCAGGTTGCTCCAAGCCCCATCCAACCTGGCCATGGACACTTCCAGGGATGGGACAGCCACAACTTCCCTGGGAACCCTGTGCTGGGGCCACACCATCCTCACATCTCACAAGTATTGTTGACTCCAACACGCTGCCCTAGCCCACTCCCTCGCCCCTTCACTTCCATGGGTGCCAAGAAACATCTGGGAATACCAAGAGGGAATTCCAAGCACCAGTTCCACCATCTCCCAGCAAGCTCTTGTGCCCATCAGCTCCAGCGTCCCCTCCCTGGTGCCCACCTGCTCCCGGCGCTGACAATGGTGCCATTGCCCAGCGTGGCCAGCGCTGCCGCCAGCGCCTCAGTGTATCCATCACCCTCCAGCTCAGCAGGAGCAGGGACATCCTGCTCCAGGAAGGAATTGCCCTCCACTCCCTCAAAGGCCACGTAGGTGGCCCCCAGTGCCTGCCGCAGGTCTCGGGCACGAGCCAGGTACCAGCCCAGCGCTGCCTCGCTGGTGACGTTCAGGCGGGCGCAGAGCTGCCCCTTCCAGGTGGTCAGCAGCGGGATCTGCAGAGGGGGAGGATGGAAATCCCTGTCAGATGCATAGAATGTCCTGCTGATTCCATGGGGGATGCCATGCTGCTGCCATCCCACCCTGCACTGTCATGGTGCAGCGCATCAAGGTGGAAACTCTCCCTCAACCTCCCCAAAAGTCCCTGAGCTGGTGGCAAAGGGATCATTAAAATGACCACACAAAGTGGAGCTGGGGAATCTTCTCAACACTGGAAGTGGGAATTTTAAAGTTGCTTCCTTAGGAAGAGGAGGGATGCTGCCTCCCCCAGCACTGCTGTGTCCCAGCACAGTGGGATAGGCTGTGTCTCTTGATAAAATAATAAACCTGAGGGGGTATGTTCAGCTTTAATTTTGGTTTGCGGGCTGAGGGGGTCCCGTACCGAGCTGGCCCCGGGTCGGGGCTGGCGGCTGAGCCAGTATCCCGCGGCCTCACCACCGCGCAGGGAGCGCTGGAAGAGCGGGGAGGCGATGCCAGCGTACGGGGACAGCGTGATGGAGAGCTCCAGAGGTTCCACCAGCGCCGGGGCCTGCCTCTTCCTGCGCCCCGAGGGCACCAGGTCCTGCAGGCAGGAAGGGCAGGAATAAGGGGTTTGTGGGAGAGGAGCACCACGCTCCCCACATGCCTGGAGGGTGGCAGGGTGGCTGTACCGTGGCGGCGAGGACGGCGGTGCCGCGCTCCCCCAGGGCCACGACGCCCTCCTGAAGGCGATGCCGCTTCAGCCTCCTCACCAGCGACCTCAGGCCTCGCTTGATTTTGGCGGCAGAACCCTCTGGGCCATGGTAGCGCCAGATGGGAGACCTGCAGGGTGGAAAATCCCTGGTGAGGTGCTTGGGAGAGCGAGCAGGATATTCAGAAGGGTTTCCACCATGGAGGCAAGGATTGCTGACCCCAGGAGCGCTGTGTCCGGCAGTGTCCGAGCTGGAGCGCTGGCCGTGTGCCGGCGGGCGGCCGCCACGTTGTTGCTGACACAGAGCTGGTAGTGCAGGGGCTCCGCTCGCCCCACTGGCATCTCCAGGCAGAACTGCTGGTGGCTCTCCAGAGACAGGAGCAGGGACACGTCGGGAGCCACTGTCACCGTCACTCCTTTGGGGGAAAAGTGGGAAAATGCTGTCTCAGCAAGCATCTGGCTGCTCCTGGTCCTGGGAGCCGCAGGGGTGAGTGGGGCAGAGCCTGACTGGTGCCAAGGCCTCCTGGGCTGATCCCACCACAGATCCAGCCATGCCAACCATCCCCACCCTGCTCCTGCTATTCCCTTGTAGAGTCCCAAATGCCTTTCAAGGTCTGGATTTCTCCCTTTCTTGGCCTTTTTGCTCAGCATTCAGCAGTGCAGGGCAGCTGCAGGTCAATTGGATTAACTTGTGGCAATACCTGAAGTTTGGTGTTCTGCAGAATAATCCAAATATACCCCAATAAATGACACCAGCAGCTGAACTCCTGCCTGAATCCAGCATCCCACAGCAACATCAGGGAGCCACAAAGCAGCTCGAGTGGAGCTGGGGATGCAGCAATAGGCACAGATCTGGGCTTAAAAAGAAACCAGACACACCAAGAGCATGGGATGTCCCAGGAGTGACTTGGGCCACCCCATCTTCAGGCACCCAGCTTCAGTATCAGCTTTCCCACAGGGATGAGGCAATGTGGGATCCATCCCACATTCCCTGTTGCTGCTACATCTGCAGGATATTTTATTCCCGCAGACATCTACGCTACTCTCAAACCAGCTGCTTTAGCAGTGAGGAGAGGGGCAGAGAAGCACAGGGATGAAGCTGTTGGGCCCTGGCCAGGGAAGGAGGTGGTTACCTGTGGATCCCAGGAAGAACCTCTCCAGGAGGGGCCCGAATCCGTCGGGGTTTGCGCTGAGGTCGCCGCTCACCAAGGGCTGCGCGGGGCTCTCAGCGCTGTTGAGGGGCCAACGCTGGGCATGGATGCTCGGCCCTCCATACCAGGAGACATTGGCCATGGAAAAACAGTCCTGCAGCCAGGAAAGTATCATCAAAGAGCGAGGAATACTCAGGGGAAACGGGAAAGCCAGACTTGGAGCAAACTGTGCTAGTGGCAGGTGTCCCTTTTACAGCGTAAAATTGTGGTTTCATTTAAAAAAAAAAACAAAAGAAAAGCAAGACGTGCTTCCCAAAGCCTGCCAATTTTTGCTGGAGGAGCACAAATAAAACCAAACTGCCACGACAATCACACTTTTGCACTCCATCACAGTTATCAAACACCTCTGAATCACAGGTAAAAAGATGCTGCAAAGGTGTGAGCAAAGAGACTCTGCAGGAGTGAGTGGGAGAGGACAAGAGAGGGGGAAATTCAAGGAAACAGCTTTAAAATGCACTGAGAGCACTTTCAGAAGCCCAGTCAAAAAATCTATGTATTTTGGTTTGCTAGTTTGTTTGGGGTTTTTTTGGTTTGGTCAAGATTTTTTGGTTTGGTCATGTTTTTTGGGTTTGGTCAGGTTTTTTATTTGTTTGGTATTTTTTGTTCAGTGGGGTTTTTTTCTGGTTTTCTTTTTTTTTTTTTTTTTTTCTCTGCTTTACTTAAAAACCGCATTAAGCTCTCCAGCTGCCTTCTCAGAGTTTCTGGAGTGAATCAGCAAGTGCAGCTGTCCTCAGCTGAGCTCTCACAGAAAGCTTTTAGCCCCATCTTGAGCCCTCACCTTGATGGCACCAGTGCCCTGAAGGTGACACATCCTCCCTCCCAAGGCACAGCTTCCCTCTTTGCCGAGGGCTGATGATAAAAATTTCCCTCAAGAGACTCAGTTTGGAGATTTGGGCACTTCTCATAGGCCTGACAGGGCCCTGGGATGGGGGACATCCCCATCCTTGACCCGCCTCCTGCCAGAAATCATCAGTTTTCACTTCAAAGTTCCTCAGACTTTCCCCTTTCTGCCAAATCGAGGGATCAGCAGGACTTAGCGTCCTCGTGACTTCCCAGGCAGGATGGGCTTCCCTGAAAGCCCAGAGACCTGGGGCCGTGAAGGGGGCCTGGGGTGGGTGGCAGAGGGGACCCAGAGACCCCCCCCACTCAACCCACCCCACCTTTATTCCCAATCCCAAGGCTTCGGAGCCTCCTGGAGTCGTGAGCTCGGGGGCGCAGAGAGGTTAAGTCTCTCCAAGGGGTGCGGAGAGGAGATGTAAATTATTAAAGTGGAAACCCTGGAGGCTCGGAATAGCTGTACCAGGTGTCAGCTGAACTCGTTACACCAGCTGGGAAAGAGGGAAAACAGTCTGTTCTGAACTCAGATTTCGCTGGATCATATTTTCCAATGGTTTGGGGTTTTTTTTTAACAAGTGGGGGAAAGCCTGTTCTGTCTCACTCATCCTCTCAAACGCTCACAGCAATGTCAGTGGAGAAGACTGAGAGTTTGTGCTCAGGCAACACCTTCCACCGACCCAGAATGGTGCCAACAGGTGATTTATGGCCAAAGGGAAACAATCCTCCATCCCAGAGAATCCCATCCCGCTTCCCTCCCTGTTCTGAGGGCTCCCCACAACTGGACACCCTGCTCTGACAGCGTGTCTCCTTCCCCTCCTGAGGCTCCTTCCCAGAGTCTGCTTTTATTTAACTGAGGGAGAAAGCAGGGAATGGTACCAAAAATGTTTGCAGCAGCGCACACGGATTATTCCCATCCCGCGGGAGCTGCCCATTGTGTCTGTGCTGGAAGAGACCTTCCCGAGGCTCTCGCCAGCATTGTCATCTCCACTGGGTATTTACTCTGTCTCCATATAAACACAGCTCTCCCACCCGGGGTCACCAGCGTGGCACCACCACAGGATTTTGGGGCTCAGCTTCACAGATGGTTTTCCTCACCCAGCACCTTCTGGATGTGGAAGGTGGGGAGCCACAGTGTGATCACATAACTGAGCTGGGGGATGATGGTGAGGCCAGAGCGGCCCCTGTTGGATCCCAAAGGGTTTGGAGCTGGATGGAGGGGTTCTCGTTACCTTCAGGGTCACGTCGGGGCGCAGCGGGGTCCAGCGGACGCTGTAGCACTCGGTTCCG